AAGGTAAATTATTGTAATGGGCCGAAAATCGGAATTGAAAATTTTTACATTTCTCGACGTTTTGAAGGTTTCTGAACATTTTATGGGGCATACCTCAGAAAAAATGGATGTGTGTGTGTTTGTATGTGTATATATGTATGGATACAAATTTTCGCCCACGTTTTCGAGCGTACGGATCAACCGATTTGAATGGTTCAAAAAACATTCGATTCCTATCGATAGAGAAAAGAGCTGATTAGTTTTTGGCAAAGGCAGGTCCAGCCGTTTCGAGGATACGGAGCAAAGAGTGCAGAAAATAGAAATCGACTTTTTGAGAGAACGGAGTATCCGATTTGAATGATCTAAAAAACATTCAATTAGTAATAATTGGGAGAAGTGTTTATTAGTTTTTGGCAAAGGCAGGCCCAGCCATTTCGAAGATACGGAGCTAAATATGTAAAAATAAAAACTGCTATTTTTTACATATTTAGCTCCGTATCTTCGAAATGATTCAAATTTGAATGATTCAAAGAACTTTCTGCTTGTCTTACCAAAATAATTGATTTTGGAAAAACATTTTTTGTTCCATTTTTTTTTTTTTTTAATTTTTTGTATATCGAAAATAATTCAGATTTTATTTTTAATTCTGACTATAGTTCTAATATACTTTAAACAAATAATTTCAACTCTGCAATTCAGTTTATATAATTCTTATAAATATTAGACAATGTTACAATATTTATAATAATCTATTTGAAAACAATCAGTATTCCTCGAACATTTCGTTACGGTACGGAAAGTTCCAGCAATTTGCCTTAAGGCACGATGCCACCCACCCCACTAGTTACTTTTTTTTTTGGACCCATTTTACCTCACATATGGGGTAAAGTGGAACAACCAGGGAGCGAACAAATGCAATTCCTTCTATTAAATTTTAAAGACATTTTACGCTACATTATTGAATCAATGCAAAATATTAATTCTGTGGGTACATTTTGTTACAAAGACAACACAGTATATTACATTGATCTGCTATTGGTCAGAAATATTCATCAGAAGAGCCGGAATAACAATTTATTTAATTAATCTCTTGTAAAATTGTTTTTTTTTTAAACTTTATTATTTTATTGCTTACACCTTTGCCAAAGTAAAGGTTCAGCTGGTCCTTTTTATCTCATTCATGTGCTGCTTATCTTCTGATAGCAAAGTCATAAGAAAAAGCTGATGGCTGGTTATGAATTTATACATTTTTCGCCCTCTACTATCAAATATAATTGTGAAAAAAATCTAATTTAATAATTAATAATTGGTCTACCCTACCCATGAACATACAAATGTGATTTTTTAATGTAAGTAATCAGTGATTTTTGATTGATTTCTTTACATAATTTTATTGTAAAAATAGTCCCTGGTGCTATTGTGCACAAAAGACATAGCAATTGCTTTCGTAGACTTGGCAACATCATGTAAAATCACATCGGTCATTATAATTGGACATATTTTTTTTGCAAAAATGGGTCATTATAAGCGACATGTCAATGTAAGCGATGTCAATATATCCGACTAGGCAGCTGTTTTTTTAAGGAATTTTATATGGAAACCAAATTCCTAGTGCGATTACGTCATATTAAGCGGTTGTCAATATATCCGGCGTCATACTAATCGGATTCTACATATATATATATATATATATATATATATATATATATATATACAGGGCCGCTCCTGAGGTCCTTAGCGCCCGCATGCAACTTTTTTTCTAGCGCCACCCCCCTCCCCATTAATTAACTTTTCGAAGAAGAAGTTTATGTTTTCATCAAAAAATCCGATTCGCTAATTTTATGTTTTCTCGACGTTTCAAGCCATTCTGAATCGAATAAGACCAAATTTGGAAAAAGTATGTGTCCGTGTGTGTGTGTGTATGTGTGTGTGTGTGAACAGATTTTTTGCCGTGAATCGACGTTTTCTCCAAAACGGCTGGACTAATTTCAAAAATTTAAAAGCCATTCGATGTATTCGATGAGGACTATCGTTTCTGAGTTTTGTGCGGCGATCGGCCGGGCCGTTTCTTTGTAAATTGCATAAAAGTGGAAAATTTTTTGTCCACGTTTTAGTCCGCTATTCTGAATCGATTTTGAAAATTCAAAAACCATTCGATAGATATTGGTTGGGAATCGTGCTGATTAGTTTTTGGTAAAGATCAGCCGGGCAGTTTTCATGTAATAAAGTTTAAAAAAAAATTTCGACGATTTTTATGATTATTTTTTTTGGCGGTAGATACCATAGTTTTCTAGATCATACTGAAATATTACCGCCCTACGACAACTCGTTTAGCTTTAAAAATTCGTCAAAGTTTGCAAAAATTGGTATCGTTTTTTTGACATTTGTCAAAATTAGACCTTTCATCGACGTTTTCTCAAAAACGCCTGAACCGATTTTAGGTATTTAAAAAACATTTGATGTATCTCGATGAGGATTATCGTTCGTCAGTTTTGTGCGACGATCTGCCAAGCCTTTTCTTTGTAATTTGAAAAAAAAGTGTTAAACTTTTCGTCCACATTTAAGCTCATCCTACCGAACCGATTTTAAAAAATCAAAAACTGTTCGAAAGATATTAGTTGGGAATGATACTGATTAATTTTAGGTGAAAATCTACCGAGCCGTTTTCTCGTAATTAACTGTTGAAAAAAAAAAAATTAAGCCGATTTTTATGAAACTTTTTTGGCGATATACATCATGGTTCTATAGAACTTACTGAAATATTACGGCCTTACGACATGTAGTTTAATTTTAAAAATTCATCAAAGTTTGAGAAAAAGAGAAGTTTTTTTGACGTTTGTTAAAAGTAAATTTAGACGATTTACTTGGTGTAACGATAGAGTACTTGGTCTTAATGAACATACTGAAACATTACAGTCCTACACAAACTGGTTCAAATATAAAAATTGTTGATTTGTGAAAATTTGCTTTTAGAAAATACTCCGAGTTAACGTGTTCGTTCGTTTTCAATTAGTATGTGTAATATCTCCACTCATAAATTAATTTATTTTCTATTGATCAAGTCGATTATTTACATATATCGGGAAGTTCATGTAACTTGCCTTACGGCTAAATACCAAACCAACTAGTTTAAACAGATTTTGCTTAATCTATTCTTCTCATTTTTAGCAAACTGCACAAGCAAATCAAGCCCCTTGCAAAATCTCAAAACCAACATCATCACCTGCTAAGGAATCCCTAATAGCACCTGCAAAAGAGGAATACACCTTCATCACATTTTCAGATAATTTATTACAAATTATGGAAAATCCAACAAATATTTTTGAAGACGATTGCGTTGATAAAAAGGACTCGGTTGCTGTGATGGATGATATACTTTTAGAAGACTTTTCAACCATCCATGATTCGGAACAAATTGTTACTGAATCTGCAAATATGCAGTCTTTTGCAATTACCGATGAAGGGCTGTTGAGTATTTTGAATAGCAGCAACGAGTGAGGTAATTAAAATAATTTAACTTATTATTAAATATGGAAAATCTAAAATGTGGACATTGTCAAGTTTTTGAAGAATAAACTTTTTGGTATGTTACAATTTGTTTATTAACTTCCCGAAGTTTATGTTTTCATCAAAAAATCCGATTTGCTAATTTTATGTTTTCTCGACGTTTCAAGCCATTCTGAGACCAAATTTGGAGAAAGTATGTGTGTGTGTGTGAACAGATTTTTTGCCGTAAATCGACGTTTTCTCAAAAACGGTTGGACCGATTTCAAAAATTTTAAAGCCATTCGATGTATTTCGATGGGGACTAGCGTTTCTGAGTTTTGTGCGACAATCGGCCGAGCCGTTTCTTTGTAAATAGCAGAAAAGTGAAAAAAAATTTGTCCACGTTTTAGCCCGCAATTCTGAATCGATTTTGAAAATTCAAAAACCGTTCGAAAGATATTGGGTTGGGAATCGTGCTGATTAATTTTTGGGAAGATCGGCCGGGCCGTTTTCTTGTAATAAAGTTTTTAAAATAAAAATTCGAAGATTTTTATGATTATTTTTTTGACGGTAGATACCATAGTCTTCTAGATCATACTAAAATATTACCGCCCTACGACAACTCGTTTAGCTTTAAAAATTCGTCAAAGTTTGCGAAAATTAGTATGGTCTTTTTGGCACTTGTCAAAATTACAACATTCATCGACGTTTGCTCAAAAACGCCTGAACCGATTTCAGAAATTTAAAAACCATTTGATGTATCTCAATGAGCACTATAGTTTGTCAGTTTTGTGCGACGACCGGCCGAGCCGTTTCTTTGTAATTTGAAAAAAACTGTTAAACTTTTCGTCCACATTTAAGCTCAAACTACCGAATCGATTTTAAAAAATCAAAAACTGTTCGAAAGATATTAGTATAATCTACCGAGCTGTTTTCTTGTAATTAACTGTTGAAAAAAAAATAAGCGGATTTTTAAGGAAATTTTTTTGGCGATATATATCATGGTCTTATAGAACTTACTGAAATATTACGGCCTTACGACAAGTAGTTTAATTTTAAAAATTCATCAAAGTTTGAGAAAATGAGTAGTTCTTTCGACCTTTGTTAAAATTAAAATTAGACGATTTACTTAGTATAACGATAGAGTACTTGGTCTTAATGAATATACTAAACAATTAAAGTCCTACAAAAAACTGGCTCAATTATAAAAATTATTGATTTTTGAAAATTTGCTTTTAAAAAATACTCCGACCGAGTTGGCGTGTGCGATTTTCAATCATGTGTAATAAATCCACTTCGAATACTTTTAACTACTCATAAATTAATTTATCTATCATGGATTAAGTCGATTATTTACACAAATCGGGAAGTTCATGTAACTTGCCTCAAGGCAAAATACCAATACCAACTAGTTCAAATCATAACGGACGTTTTCCATAACATTTTCTGGCAACACTAAAATGTATGAAATTCGATACCTGAGCACACTTTTATTTGACATGTTGTCTTGTAAAACGTTATTTTTTGAGGTTAAAACTGAAAATGTGAAAAATATAAAATAAATTTATGTGGTTAACGTATTTATAATTAAATACAAACAGTTTATTTTACTTACAATAATATATTATAAAATTCATTACTACAAGTTACTAGCTAAAGTCTCAATATGAATAAAGCTGAACTCAATAATGAGGTATGTGATAAATAAATTTATAATCATCAATCATTATTATTAATTTTTTATTTTATTTTTAGATTGTTCTCATGAGAAAAACTGTACGACAAGCAAAAGTTCATATTATAAGAAAGCTTGTTCGAGAGATTCGTATATTGAAAGAAAAGACAAAGCCCGAAGGTGGTGATAAATTTAAAGCCAAAGCTGATAGACTTTATGAGGAACTTACTATTATAAAGGTATATATATATATATATATATATTAATATTTTGAATACTCATATTTAAGGTCTAATAATCGGGCTAAAGTAAACTTAATTGCACTTTAGATTTTTTTCATAATTTATTTTGTCAAGCATTTCATTCATTTCAAACATTTTATTTTGTCAGCATTTGCTACAAAAAATTGCTGGAACGATTACATATATATTATGCCTATTGTTCTTGATATTATCTAATCATTTAGATTAATTGTGATATTTGTTACAAGACCAGAGAAGTTTTGTAGACTGCTCGTTAGGTGACACAGATATAAATAATCTATTTAGATACTTATTAATTAATCTTTGCGAACAATGCAGAAATTCAGAAACTTGAGACAGTAAGATTACTCAAAAATTACACTCGATTATTGGACCTTGTATACATATGTCCATATAGAATTTAATATATATATATATATATATATATATATATATATATATATATATATATATATATATGAAATGATATGTCTTGGATTTGTTTATATTGGGTTTTCTTTTGAACAAGAAATTCAAAATAAAAATAAAGGTTTAATCATGCAGATGAATAACATTTATATTTTCAATCAGTTTTCGTTTATTTTCTAAATCAAAACCGGGACGTAAATTTTTAACTTCCCGAAGGAGAAGTTTATGTTTTCATCAAAAAATCCGATTCGCTAATTTTATGTTTTCTCGACATTTCAAGCCATTCTGAATCGAATGAGACCAAATTTAAGGGAAAAGTATGTGTGTGTGTGTGTGTGTGTGTGTGTATGTGAACAGATTTATTATTTTATTTCGGAATTAGTATTAAAATCTATCTTTAATAATTTAGAGGAAATTTTGTTAGATTTTCAAAATAGGTTGAAATATTTATGGGAAATTGAAGAAAAATATTTCATAAAAAATATAAATGAAAATTTAATCTTGAACTTACCTACTAGTAATTTTACAAATTGGTAGTGATTGGCATCGTGTCCTAAGGCAAATTTCTGGCACATTCCAATTACCAAAAATTATTTTTTTTGAAAATGCCTTAAATTTTTTGAAAATATGAGATTTTTAACATTTTCGAGATTTTTGAAAAAATTTTTTATATTTTGATATTATTTGAAAATTTTGAACTTTGTACTAAAATCAATCTTTAGAAATTTTAAAAAATTTGTTGGATTCTCATTATTCTCAAAATAGGTTGAAATATTTATGCAAAATCTTTGAAGAATAATATTTCATTAGGAAAAATAAAAATTTCGAACTTATATATTAGCAAATTTTTCAATGTGATAAAAACTAGTAATACATGGCATCGTGCCTTAAGGCAAATTGCTGGAACTTCCCGTACCGTAATGAAATATTCGAGAAATTTTAAACGTTTTCAAATATATTATTACAAATAGTGTAACTTTCATTATTTTTGCTATCTTATTTGTTATATCTGAGCAAATCAAATGTAAATGATAAATCAATTTATCTCCGGAACATTAACAATCGTCATTTCATTTCGAATTCAATTAAAAAAAAAGTTGGCTAATTTACACAAAATTGAAAAAGTGCTCCCGTATAGTCACAGTCTAAACGCATTTGCAAATAATTCTGTGCGACATTTTCACTTATACTGCGCTAAGCTTGGCGGCATTTTCACATTTTTCACACAAAATTGGAAAAGTCTGAACGCACTTGGGTAAACATTTGCACCAGAGTGGCGCCTAGACTATGCTTAGCTTGGGTAATTTTTTGAATTTTTAATCCAAAATTACAAAAATATTTTATGGAAAATAAAAAAAGATGTAATAATTTTTTATTCTCAAAAGCAATTGTTTTGTCAATAGAAGCAGAAAGTTTAATTCAGATCATTCAAATCGGACGCTTAGTTCACTCAAAAACTGCGTTTTTTTGCACATTTAGCTCTGTATCTTCAAAATGGCGGGACCTGTCTTTGCCAAAAACTAATCACCTCTTCTCCCAATCATTACAAATTGAATGTTTTCTAGATCATTCAAATCGGATGCTCCGATCTATCGGAAACTCGATTTGTATTTTCTGCACTCTTTGCTCCGTATCTCCGTAGCGGCTAGACCTGCCTTTGCCAAAAACTAATCAGCATATCTCCCTATCAATAGGGATCGAATGTTTTTTGAATCATTCAAATCGGTTGATCCGTGCGCCCGAAAACGTGAACGAAAAAATGCAGATACACGAAACACACACATCCATTTAGTATCTGAGGTATGCCCTTTAAAATGTTCAGAAACCTTCAAAACGTCGAGAAATGCAAAAATTCTCATTTTCGATTCTTGGCCCATTACTATAACTAACTACCCTACGGGAAGTTAAAACTGTTTAAAATTATATAATCTGCAATAGTCATAAATTAAAATGTAGATTTCTTATCAAACATTTCGCAAAGTTTATGCAACTTGCCTTAAGCCACTTATATCTGATTTTCATTTTGGATTTCTTGTTCAATTAAGGGGCACAACTAGTGTAACCGCCTAAAAAAATGTGATTTTTGGGAATTTATATTAAAAAAACTACTTTATCAATTATTTCAAAATTTTAGGAATATATTTATACATGTTTTAAGAATACATAGTAAAATTTTTGAAGAAAAAAATTAAATATTTTTTAAGTTATCGTCGATCTCTAACGGCGCGACAAAAAAAGGCCCTTCACTGCTGCAGTGATTCCGGCCTTCTACGTGGATGAACTTAAAAAAAAAAAAAATCTCGTTAAACTAGATAATTTTGTCTGTAAAATGAACTACGATAACGAAAAAAATCAAAAATTGACAAAATGACGGCGTTTAAAAAAAAAGTCGAATTTTACCCAAAATTTTGGTCGATTTTGGACTGCCAAAATTCGATTTTTGATCCGATCAAAAATTCGATAGTTCATTTTACAGAGAACTATATATAGAACATGTAAAAAAAAATCGATAGTGATCGGATCATTTGTTTTTGAGTAATCGTTGCAGCAAATTCGGAAAATGCTGTTTTGAGAAAAACTCGTTTAAAGATTAAATGATCGTTGTACTATATACTATATGTATACTCTATAAATGGCTGTGACTCAAAAACTATTCAAGATATCGATTTAAAATTTTAGTATGTTATTTTTAAAGGTATAACCTATAGAAATATGGAAAAATTGAAAATTCGATTTTTTGAAAATTTCACACTAGTTGTGCCCCTTAACTTCGTTCTTTCCTAAATATCCTAAAATAATATTTCTATTACTACCTTTACCCAGAAGTTGGACTGCGATGTCATATCAAAGCACGCCTTAACCCTAACAGAAGACCCCAAAAAAATCCTGTCGAAGGCGGAATCCCTGCACGATAGGGCACTCAACAGATTCGCAGTTCACAAATCAGTCTGCGACAAAGTTAAATCCATCAGAGAAAAATACAACCTGGAGCAAAATTTTGAGAAAGTTTTGGAGCCGGGTAAAAAGAAACAGAGGAAGTTGAAACACATCGAAGACAAGGCTAAAAAGAAGGAGATTCGGAGGGAAAATGCTAGGGCTAGGGAATTGAGTGCTAAACGACAAGCTTGGCTGGAGGAGAATAATTTGGTGCCTATGGGGGAAAGGACAGATTGTGGGATTGATGATGGAGGGAAAGGACAGATTAAGTCGGCTAAAGACACAAACAAGGGTGGAGACAACTCTGATGATTCTGGTGAGTCTGATGAAGACTTCTGTATAGAACATGACAGTAACAGTGAATCTGAACCAGAAAGTACCAAAGATAATCTGAAATCTAAAACAAAAACCAAAAATCAACCAGATAACCAAGACCAAGACCAAGATGCTTTTAAAAACAGGGACAAACTGAAGTCTAAAACAAAACCTAAAGGTTCACCACCAGATAACCAAAAAGTTTCCAAAAACAAAGGCACTATGAAGTCTAAAACAAAACCCAAAAATCTACCTGAACAATCACACGATGACTCTGAAGACATGGAACAAGATGAATCCTTTATGACTAAAACAAAACCCAAAAGTAAATCTGAACTATCACAGGATGACTCTGAAGACATGGAACAAGATGAATCCTTTATGACTAAAACAAAACCCAAAAGTAAATCTGAACTATCACAGGATGACTCTGAAGATATGTCCCAGGATGAACAATCATCTTATGATGACTCTGAAGATATGCCCCAAGATGACCTCGAAGAAAATGAGTCCTTTACCAAAACCGTGGATGACTTCTTCATCACAGATTCTGGTACTCATTACTAAAGCATATTGATTTTTATTTAAGAGTATTCGCATTCTTATTTTAATGTTTCATTCTTATTTTAGAATATGTATTTTTATTTCAAAGTCCTCATTCTTACTTTACAGTCTCAATTTTTATTTCAAAGTCATCATTCTTATTTAACAAAATTGACTTTTATTTAAGGGGGTTGTTCTTTTTTTTGTTACAAAAAATGCAAGGTATTTGTTTTTGTTTTTCTCGAAATGCATTTATCATAGAGACATGCGGTTTTTTTTAAACAAAAGTTACAAAATCATAGAATATTACGTAATTTTCTTTTATTTTTTTTTGCGCCGTCATTTTTTAACCAGGGGGCGCCAAAGTCGGTCTTGCAAAATCGATCTCTTTTGCGGTGCCACAGATAAATCCGTTGCGCATCGCCCGAACCAAAAAAAAAAATAAACTACGTTGAAGAAGAAGTTTGAATCCAGTCCCCCTACCAAAATGAAAAAAAAAAGCAAGAAGGAAAAAAATGGCAGTTATTTACGTGTCAAAAAAGGCCTTTTTTGGGGCGAGAAGCTTCGCAAATTTTTTTTGCGTAATGTTATCAAGTTGTTTGAGGTAGGGGGACTAGGTATTGCAGTGGTGAACAAATTAAAAAAAAATGCAAGTCGATCTGACTTGTAGTTTTTTTTTAATTTGTGGCATCGCATTTAAAAAAGTCAATTTGAGAAAAACGTATTTAAAGCTTTTAATATAATGTACTAAATACATCATTTAATTTAATGTACTTGATACACCATGGTGTTCAAAGATGCTGACACATTAAAAAGGTCACGTGCGTGAGGTATTATAATGAAAAAGAGGGCAGCTGGCATACAATAGCTCGCGGAGCGATGAAAAAAAAACGGTTTCAGAGGATCATACATATAGGGATATATATATATCTATAACTTCTTCAAAAAAATAGATATTGAGATGATTTTTTTTTATATAATTCTAAGGTTTTAGCTTTCATAATATCAAAAAATCTCAAAACCGAAACAAAAAAAAAATAAAAAACGAACAACTCCCTTAAGAGTACTCGCATTCTTATTTTAAAGTTTCATTCTTATTTTAGAATATTTATTTTTATTTCAAAATTCTCATTCTTACTCTACAGTCTCAATTTTTATTTCAAAGTCTTTATTGTTATTTTACAAAATTGATTTTTATTTAACAGTACTCGCATTCTTATTTTAAAGTCTTTATTCTTTTTTGAGATCCTGAATTTTCATTTCAGAGTCTTTATTCTTATTTTACAGTCTTTATTTTTATTGTTTTTGTTATTGTTTTAAGTTTTTATTGTTATTTTACAAAATTTATTTTTATTTCAGAGTACTCATTTTTATTTTAGAACCTTTATTTTTATTTAAGAGTCTTTGTATCTTGAAGTCCTTATTTTTATTTTAAAATACATGTTTTTATTTCAGAGTCCTCATTCATATTTTAGAGTATTTATTCTTTTTTGAGTTTCTTCTTAATTTTGTTTTTAGAGTACTTATTTTTATTTTAAAGTCTTTATTTTTTTGCAAAATTTATTTTCATTTCGAAGTTCTTATTCTTATTTTGAAGTCTCTATTTTTATTTCAGAGTTCTCATTCTTATTTTAGAGTCTTTATTCTTTTTTGAGATCCTGAATTTTTATTTTAGAATGCTATTATTTTAAAGTCTTTTCTTTTGTTTTACAAAATTTATTTCTATTTAGATATCTTCTTTTGATCTCTATTTTTTTCAAGCCTTATTTTTATTTTGAGAGTATCTTTTTATTTTACAGAGCCCTTATTGTTTTTTATTCAATATTTATTTTATTATGAAGAGAGAGTACACATTCTTTTTTTAAAGTTTTATTCTTATTTTAGAATATTTATTTTTATTTTGAAGTCCTTATTTTTGTTTTAAAAAATTTATTTCTATTTAAAAGTCCTCATTCTTACTTTACAGTCTCAATTTTTATTTCTTATTCTTATTTAACAAAATTGATTTTTATTTAAGAGTACTCGCATTCTTATTTTAAAGTCTTCATTCTTATTTTAGATGCTTTTAAAAACAGGGACAAACCAAAGTCTAAAACAAAACCAAAAGGTTCACCACCAGATAACCAAAAAGTTTCCAAAAACAAAGGCGGTATGAAGTCTAAAACAAAACCCAAAAATCTACCTGAACAATCACAGGACGACTCTGAGGACATGGAACAAGATGAATCCTTTACGACTAAAACAAAACCAAAAAGTAAATCTGAACTATCGGACGACTCTGAAGATATGTCTCAGGATGAACAATCATCTTACGATGACAATGAATATATGTCCCAAGATGACCTCGAAGAAAATGAGTCCTTTACCAAAACCGTGGATGACTTCTTTATCACAGATTCAGGAACCCATTACGAAAGCACATTTGTACCAAAACCAGTCAAAGAACAAATTCATAACGATGGCCTAAATAGGCAACAGAGACGTGCACAACAATTTGGCAATGTGGTGAAGAAACGACCTCCAAAATTCAGCAAAAAGGATTCATTTACCAAGCAGAAGGATTCGAAATTCAATCACAATAAAATTGAGAAGAATGATTTTAAATTTAATAAGGATAAGAAACCTAAATTTGATAAGGTTGATTTTAAGTCTAAGAATAAAATGGATAAGGATGATTCTAAATTTAATAAGTCTGTTAATAAAAAGGCTGTTCCAGAAATAAAACAAGAAGTGTCTTTACATCCTTCGTGGGAAGCTAAGAAAAAACTTAAACCGCAAATTACTGCTTTCCAAGGCAAGAAAATTGTATTCGATGATTGAATAAACAGAGTATGTATATAAATACATCTTCTATTTGTTTAAAACATTTTTCAATGTGTTTATTATTTTTTTTATATTTTTAAAATTGGTGCAGCCGTTTTTGAGAAAAATTCGGACCAAAGATTAATTTTCCAATTTCGGTGTCAAACGATTCAAAAGGATTTAGAATATAAAATTGGCAAATCCGTGTTTCTAGAAAGAATATAAACTTATCTTTCGGAAATAACACCGATTTTATGCTGATACTTTTAAAGACTTTATTTTTTTCTAGTGGGTCCTCATTTTAGTTTTAGACATTTTATTTTTATTTCAGAGCTCTTATTGTTATTTTAGGATATTTATTTTAATTTTAGAGTTTTTATTTTTATTTAAGAGAACTTTATCTTATTTTGGAATGTTTATTTTTATTTTAGAGCCTTTAATTTTCCTTTGAGAACCTTATTTTTATTTTAGAACCATTATTTTTATTTCAGAGAATTTATTTTTATATTAAAGTTCCATTCTTATTCTACAATATGAGTACTTATTCCATATTTTTATTTTAGAATATTTATTTCCATTTCAAAGTCATCATTCTTACTTTGCAGACTTTGTTTTTATTTTAGTGTCTTTATTTCTATTTCAAAGTCCTCATTCTAACTTCATAATCTTTTTTTTATTTCCGAGTCTTTATTCTTATTTCACAGTCTTTATTTTTATTTCAGAGTCTTTATTGTTATTTTACAAAAAAAATTATTTCTGAGTACTCATTCTTACTCTAGAATATTTATTTTTATTTTAGAGTACTTACTCTTATTTTAAAGTCTTTATTCTTATATAAAGTCTTTATTGTTATTTTACAAATTTATTTTCATTTTGAAGTCCTCATTTTTATTTTAGAGTTTTATTTTTTTTTGAGATCATTGATTTTTATTTTGGAGTACTAATTCTTATTTTAAAGTCTTTATTTTTATTACAAAATTTATTTTCATTTCAAAGTCCTCATTCTTGTTATACAGTCTCATTTTTATTTCAGAGTCTTTATTCTTATTTTACAATATTTATTTTTATTGGAGAGTACACATTCTGTTTTTAAAGTTTTATTCTTATTTAGAATATTTATTTTTATTTTAGAAACTTTATTTTTATTTCAAAGTCTTCATTCTTATTTTAGAATCTTTATTCTTTTTTGAGTTTCTTAATTTTCATTTTAGAGTGTTTATTCTTATTTTACAGTCTTTATTTTTATTATAGAACCTTTATTTTAATTTTGAAGTCCTTATTTTTATTTCAGAGTTCTCATTCTTATTTTAGAGTCTTTATTCTTTTTTGAGATCCTGAATTTTTATTTTAGAGTACTTATTCTTATTTTGAAGTCTTTATTTTTGTTTTTCAACATTTCTTTTTATTTCAAAGTCCTCATTCTAACTTCATAATCTTTCAGAGTTGTTATTGTTATTTTACAAAATTTATTTTTATTTCAGAGTACTCATTTTTATTTTAGAATATTTTTTTTTAGAACATTTATTTTTATTTAAGAGTCTTTGTATCCTGAAGTCCTTATTTTTATTTTAAAATACTTTTTTATTTCAGAGTCCTCATTTTATTTTAGAGTATTTATTCTTTTTGAGATCTTGAATTTTCATTTTAGAGTACTTATCCTTATTTTAAAGGCTTTATTTATTTTTATACAAAATTTATTTTTATTTCAAAGTCTCATTCTTACTTTAAAGTCTTTGTTTTTATTATAGTGTCTTTATTCTTATTTTAATTTCAGAGTACTCATTCTTATTTTAGAATATTTATTTTGATTTTAGAGTCCTTATTGTTATTTTTACAAAATTTTTCATTTCGAAGTCCTCATTCTTATTTTAGAGT